TAACTTAATTATTATATATATATATATATATATATATATATATATATATATATATATACATATATACATATGTATATTTTATTCTCTCTCGTCTTCATTAATTGTTAGCAATCAATAGTTCCATACTGCGAAATCTGGCAGTGTATTTAGAAAACAGTATATTTATCGTATTTACTTCGTAATCGAATGTATATGTTAATTGAATTGCTATTCACCAATATATACTGTGCTGTGTATTTAAGATTTATGCGTAAAGTATAAAATATATTTTGGGGCGGCTCAATCACTTAAGGAATATTTCGCAAATACACTACATACGTTGACGTGTATTAATAATAAATTTTGCAAAGATAAAGATTTATATTTACGTTAAGTGGAATGTCTTTTCTTAAATTAATTCCACTAGTAACGGCATGTATTATATGACTGTTATAATCCTTGCATAAAAGTTGCAATGCAGTAAAGAGAAGTATTTGAAACGTAGGCTCTTATTTTACGTGTAATCCGTCCCCGAGCATTAGAAAGCAGATCCAAATGCAATTTATAAGTTGGCTGAATTATCGTAAGATATACTATAATGTTTACAAGGGACACATGCATTAATTAAATGTATCGAATATTTTATATGTAACTATTTTCTTTTGGGAAGAAAGTATTTCAGTATTGATGTACAATCTATATTAATCATTTTTTTTTTTTGAAGTACATAAATACGCTCTTTCGATAATTTATCGCAAAAGGCATCGCCAAAATATCTCTACGAAGCATAAGTACGAGCTGTAATTGAATTCATTCAAAGTAAATGGCTTTTATCGACGGAGGTACCTCTTAATATTCGTAAATAACTCTGAAGAGTTTTTCATTGATTCTGTATAAGATTGTATCAATTTGCGTAATATAATTGTAGGACGTTTTTTTTTTTACAATACAAACTCAAAGGCAACTATCTTAATCGGCATCTAACACTGACCATACTTACAAAAGAAAGTTCAAGGTAAACGAGACCACGAGACAGAACATTCAGATTCATACGTCACACTGTATAACGGAATCGTGTCTTTTTGTACTTTTATATTTCGATCACAGATCAGGCCGCTTGAACGGAATAGTTTTTACATAAATATATGTTCACTCGTGTCACATGCAGAGCCTCTGTTTACAAACGCGACACCATCATGCACACTCTTGCAAGGCGGGACAATAATAGTTTTTAAGCAGGTTCGACAGAATTTTTGCTAATTCTTTTTTTCTAATTACGTTTCGAGTAAAGTCATTTGTAATTCGGGATCCGTGGAGGCTCAATTAAAATATTTGATTGCATTTTACGTCTTTTGGGGAAACACACTTTTTACAACAAATAATTCGTCAGTCGATCATCGTTTCGCTGTACTCTTACAGGTACATCGTCTTCCCCCCTCCCCCCCCCGTAACATTCTCCCGCGTTCTCCCATCCAAGCACCATAAACACAATCATCCGAACACTTTTAATCTTAATGCGACCACTTTTGAAAAACGATGTGAATGCGTTATTAATTAGATTAAGCATGTACTTACGACTTTATATAATAATACGTTTCCCGTTTGCCGTTCAAACTTCCAGAATTTGTTCGAAATCAATATTTCCGGAATTATGGAGACAATGTTGATCTGTAAATATGACAATGTTGAAACGTTAACTCTGCGCAACTCGAGTGAGAATATTGCGAGAAGTGAGTGACGAAATTTTTATTCTAAAGGTATCACGTCCCGAATATTATCCTAACGCCACCGGTGGATCGACAATTGTAATCGACAATGTATTAATCGCGATGTAACTAATCTCTTACACGCTTTCGATCTGTCACTATCTTCGGCGCTACGGCGAATGAATTATCGCCGATGAGGTTGTAGGACTACGATATATAATGGCAGACTTATTTCCGATTGTTGTTGCTCGACTTCGATCGAATTTGTATCGAGATTGTATCACATTTTTTTTACATCACGCTATGGTGAACTGTGTGCCCGGTGAGTGGTCCTGTCGAAAAGCGCCGGGCGGATACGGGCAGTATACCTGCCTGTATTGCTGCATAGCTTGCTAAGTGATATCGCTGTAGAAAGCATGGCTCTAGAACGTAAGGAAACTGGAGTTACAACGACTCCGAAGCGAGACGATTTTTAATGTTAATTAACGTTTAGGCCTATTATGTACATATTACGTGTGCGTAAGCGCAGAGCGATCGAGTGAGAGTTATACAGATCTATTTCCCCCCCCCCTCCTCCCCTCCCTCTCCCCTTCCCTTTGCCAATCGTACATATGTCGAATTAACAATCGTATCTGTAAATAAAGCCATCGAGGAGTAAGTCCACTCTCCGCATACGCAATGCTGGAGTCCTATAATCCTACATTAAATCTCTGTACATATATTTAATGTCCGTCTTTATTTTTTTTCACCTTATCTCTCAAAGGCGTATATATATATATATATATATATATATATAAAAAATATCGAAGGCGACAGGGAGGAATTTGGTTTTTAAGTCAGTATAGTTAATGTCACATAATAAGATTAGAAATTACTTCGCGTGTCTTGTTGTTATGTTGTTATTCGTGAAAATATAAAGGAAAAACTCAGTTCTTCCGATAGAAATTATAAATTTGCATTCGTAAATTTATTTTTTGTACAATTGTATTCATAAATTTATGTTGCGTATAATTTGTACCACTTTTTATATTATAATTGCGTTTATTATTATGTACAATTTTGTTTATATTATGCGCGATGACGATCTCGATGAGATCGCCGTCGCGACGATTCTCCAGGCAACGGCGAGATTTCGCAAATAAACGGCAACGATGCGTAACAGGGCACTACTTTCCAGAAGGGCGACGGACTTTTGGCGGACGGATTTACGAGAGCGACGCAGCCTTTCGAGTGCGACGGCTCTCCCTCGCCCCATCCTCGATAAGTGAAGCACGACAAGGGCTCGCCTGTCGAAAATTGTGTACTTTCTGAATTTCTCGCTACGAACATTTTCGACGTGCGATGAAAAATTAATTAATTAGCCGCAAAACAAGACACGACGTAAACAAACGAAAGCGAATTACCGAATTCATTCTTCCAAATTCTCTCCTTGCTCTCGCCGCTGCTGAGACCCACGAATCTGGAATGATTTTGCGACACGTATTTACCGAGGCCTTCTGTGCGCTCCTCGCTTATCACATGCGCGAGCGATGCGTTTCGTTTCTGGCAAAAACTTCGCGCTTCCGTGTAATTCAAACTCTCGGACGAGAATACGAAGATCCCCGCTTTAGGAACACACTCCACCGTGGCGTTCACTGAAAGGAAATTTTCTTCACTGAGAGTTTATTTACGTTAAACTTACGTCGGAAGTTCCAAAAGTTGATTTACCCATTGAAACATAATATTTAATTGAACAAAGATAAAAAATAAAAATTGACAAAATTTTTACTAACGCTCGTATTGTGCAATGCAACCAAGGAAGGGTAACAAAGCAAGTTATATTAATAGTTTAATATAGTTTAAATAAAATAGTTTAAATAAAACTAATAGTTTAATAGATTAAAAAACTGAAACATGATACAATAAATTGATAATCAGAATCACAAATGTTAACATGACTTTTGTCATAAAAATAAGTGAAAGATTAGATCAACATCAAGGTTAAAAATAATACAATATATATATATATATATTCGAAATAGCATTATATAGCCGGTAAGAAATAAATAAATAAATAAACATAATGTAGAGTTGAGCGATTAAAATTAAAACGTATAATAAAAAAAGTAATGTAGAGTCGGATAAAATTAAAATAAAAGATGTAAATGTTATCCTGACATAAAACGATCATAAATAAAAATTAAAAAATAATTGTAAAATGTAATACTTGATTGTTTCTGCAAACGTATAAATACTGTCAATTTTTACATAGATTTTGACTAATCGTAGTTGCAATTACCAGGTGGATTGAAAATGGGATACATGCTGTAATATTTGCAATTCGCCACAGGCACGAGGGTGGTCATATTCTGATCCTCGGGACATTGAAGAGCTTGACATGTGTTTTCTCGTCCACCTGTAACAAGAAAAATAGGCACTATAAGAATGTACACTGGGGAAATTACACGCGAAAAAAACACGCGTCAGATTAATCCCGCTAATTGAACTGACTGAAATTGAATTGCTGGATGTTATACTTGTTACATTACAATTCGCGTTACATTCCGTATACATAATTATGAAACTATCACATGAAATTATCATAATTATACGTTGCAATTACGTTTAATTGCCTGCTATTCGCGTACCGGTACGGTTTCTCGAGGAGATAAAATTGAAGGCGAGGGCTCTCTTCGAGGCGGCGAATTTCTCGCACTCGCCCACACTGGGAACAATCCTTCGCGATATGATCGCTTGACTTGACCGCGAATTGGTCTTTATTAAATCGTATCGCGGTAACTCGTGGCGACTAATCAAGCAGCAGCGATCGCAACCAACTGAATACACCACATATATAATAAATAAAGACAGCAGTAAATTAACGCTTGATACTCTATGCATATTTTGTCTCAAGAGAATGCGATCAACTATTTCGAAGCATAACAGATATACTGCGATTCATTCAACGCAATGTTTTGCATTTTTTTTTTTTTTTTGATGACGTAAGCGCGAATATTACCTATTTCCGACTTCGGAAATATACATCAGTCGGACAAGATAATTATGCAATTGTAAACACAATAAAATCGTATGTTTGTAATAAAAGCAAAGCGCAAACGATATCGTGATTTAATGTCAATGTTCTCTGTTTTCTAAAAATCTTTCTTAATTTACATTTAGAAGTGTTTTACATTAAAAGTGTTTTTTTTTTTTTTTTTTTACTTAGCTTGGTAAGTTTTTTAGAAAAAGGAATTAGAAAAATGGAATTATTTTAACTCGCGATATATGTCCGAGATATTTTTATTAATAATGGAACATACTGTATGTTTCTGTAACAATAACAATTATAAAGAAATATATGTATATTATGTACACTGCTCTAGATATTTGCAAGACGCTGAGATATCAAAGGTAATCTTCATGTTTCGAAATTTATAATATTCTTATATATCGATAATGTGATTTCACATCTTCTAAACTTTTTTCTCTTGTATATCTGCTCTTTTATGTGTGCCGTCGCAAAAGGGTCGGTTTGATGTCTGCTTGCAGTTGCACAGCCAATATTCCTTAGTCTCCGTAACAGTAAAACGTATAGGTCTGTGCTTGATTTTCAAGTAAATGTCTTTGTGCGTGCCATCACAGAACGGCTGGTTTTTGCTTCGTCCGCAGAGGCACCACGAGTAATTTTTGCCAGCTTTGAGCTCCATCCTGAATGGCTTTTTATCATATATCACTCCATTGTCAGATTGCTTATTCGCACTGTATATGTCTTTAAGTGGATTCGTGGGTATTGGCGAACCATCGGTTTTTGTGCAAAAGCAAGAGACCTGAAAATGTAAAAAAAATATCAAGCTGAAATAAAAATAAATTTTGTTTTACATTTTTTCAAAAGAAGATTATGTACTTTCAAACAAAACTGTCAACAGCGAGATCATTGTACTTTTACGTTATTTAATTGTTTATAATAATCTCTCACATGGGCATTAATTCAAATTAAGGAGAGAAGTAAGGTTAGAGATGGATTGTAAAGTAGAGGCTTATTTATTTTATCGTACGTTCTTATGACGAAAAGCGCTCAGGCGAGTGAACTGTGGAAGTCGATTCAGCATGCTCATTCTGTTGAATTCACGTCAATTAAGTTTGAGTGTGGCAACAAATCACCAACTTAAGAGCGATCTGTGAATAACACAATGCCGACCACGCTAATTCCTGACTGGAGCACAATGTTTTTACGCTTGTTCCATTTGATTGTGCCCTCTTGTGCAACACCGAAGAAGACTGTTAGAAAATGTAGCCCAGCCAAAAGAAGAAATCGACTTTACCTATCGCGATGAAGTTTAGTGCCGAAGAATTCAGAATTCTGAAGGGTTGTGTGTTACGCGTAAAATAAATAGTTAACATTATATGTAAGCAAAACTGTATAAACCAAAACTGCGTAAACTATGTATAAAATGTCATCTATATAAATTATAATTTATGGATCATAGAAGATTTATATTCCCTTTATATTTGGCATATTTTATGTAGACAAAAAAAATATATGTATATATAAATTAAAATAAAAATTAACTTAAAAGTTAAAAAGAATATTATAAGATAGTGATAAATAATGACAAATAATGATATATCAAATTTTTATTATTATATTACATGTCAGATTCAAATAAAAGTATCAATTTATTTTCTAATTAATTTTATATCATATGTATTTACATGTTATATATATATATATATATATATATATATATACATTTTTTTAATATGTATAATGATACTTTTATTTGAATCTGATGTATAATATAATTAAAATTTGATATATCATCATTTATTATAAAACTTTTTAATTTTTAATATATATTTTTATTATTAATATCCTAAAATCAAATATATTAACAATTTTAAAATTTAATTACTTTTTCTATATTGTGTTCTGTATTATTCAATTTATAGTATTTGTTGATTTATGTTTGTATTATTTATATGAAAAAATTGTTTAAATTGTGTAAATTTCATGTAAAAAATATATAAAAAACTTGTATAGATGTAATCTTGAAATATACCGCACGATCTTGCTAAAGATTAATAATTTTATAATCTATATTTATATAAATGATAATAAAGAATTTTTTAATTTAATTTTTATTTATATTTTATTATAGATATTTATGTCAATAATCAACAATGTTTCATTGATAGTCGATTTGATTATTAATATTTTCTACTATTATTATTTTTTTTAATTATTTTCTCACATTTTTGAGAATTAATAATTATAAAAATTTATCTAGCCTTTCTTTACATTTTTAAAAGTAATGATAGATCATGTAGTTTATTAACGAATTTAATTGTAACGTGTAAGTGAATTGTAATTTGTGGATAGCTTAACTCACTATGCAATTATGAATACAACAACTATAATGGTATTGTAATTAAAACGAAATTTTCACAAATTTTAACAAAGACTCAATGTGTTTCAAAGAATTGATTTTTGTTTAATACACCTTTCTTTAACCATTCTTCAATCTTTTTCATCGTCTCAGTCCCATTTCATTTCTCTAATTTGTTTCGTGATGGATTCAAGGTATAATATTCGATTACAAGCGTGCAAGTAGCTCTTGATGCAAATTGGCCGATTAGAAACGTCGCCGCGTCCCATTCACTTTCGCTGACGAAAGCGAGGAGGATAAGTATACGATGTAAGAAACAAGCGACAAGTACAAGAAAAAAAGATGCTTCTGAAACCGCATTCCGAAATTTTACATTGCGCGCGGCGATCGCGTGGCGCACGTAAATGCAATTAGGGAAAAATACCGAATCCAGGCAAACGGCAATAAAAGGAAAAAAAAATGATGCAGATTGCAGATTGTAGATTCTAACTTGTTATTATCTTAAGTAGCACATCAAAGTCAATAAACTGACATTCATGACTGACTCGCGTAAAAGAAGGACGAAATAGTAGCGTAATAAAAATTAAGCAAGTAAACGGATAAAAAAATCATGGGCGCTAAGACGTTAGGCGCTGCCTCCAGTTTAGTGGGACAAGGATGAGAACAGTAGCTCACGTTTTATGAATGCACCGTCGTGAGATGCATTTGCGAGGGTAATTGACCGTCCACGACGCCAGTGAAGACGTAAGTGGAGCGAACGCCGGAGTTATCCCTCTGAGATTCTCGTGCGCTTCTATCGATTAGAAAGCCGATAAATACGTATAACAAGTAATATATTGAAAAAAAAAAAAATATTCTCGATATCATCGAATTATGACAAAACAATACGTAGAATCGAAATGCTAACTTCATTAATCTTTTTTTCCTTGAATAAAATCATAATCGATAAATTTTGATAAACCGATAAATCGTTACGCATCGATTTTCGACGTATAGTCGAAAAAATTTGCACGATTACAATCGAGGTAGTTCAAAGTTACATCAATTCGATCAAAATTAATTTTTAATAATGATATTTGAGATTGCTATCACATAAAGATAAGATCTTTCGCGTGCGATTGATCATCGCGCAAAATCAATCTTGAAAGATTGATGAGTTTTTGCGCGATTGATGAGTTTTGCGCGACTAATCGCATGCAAAATGTGTGTTATGACAAGTAGGGTCGAGCGGTAAGACTCTTCAAAGAGCACTTAATCGTATTTGGGACCTACTTTTAAAACGTGCGGGAGAGAAAGTAAGAGGAGTTGCCGATGGAGTCGCGTGCTTGAGAAAGTAAAGTCCCTTTCGCGCATAGAGATGTACACTTGCGTATACACTCGCGTCGATATATACGCGCTTGTATACACCGTACATGTTCGCCATGCCGATCTATATGGGTCGCGAAAGGAAGTTAGTGTGACCAGCGATACGCCAAAGCCTCATCTTATCCCCCCTTTATAATTTTTATTTTAATGTTACATGTTAATGTGAAAAAAAAATTACATCTCTTTTAAATTATAATTTATTATAATTAATCTTAAACTTACTGATTATTCATAATAAATTATGATTTAAATTATAAATTTTTTTACAATAAATTTTTTATATTTATATGTTTTAAATTATTATAATTTATTATAATTAATAATTAAATTAATTATAATAAATTATTAATTTAAAAGGATATGATAAGATTGGGCGAGAGATTAGGAAAGAGAGATATTAATTAATGTTAAAAGAAAAGAATAATGCAAAAAGTAAAAATGCAAAAAATAAAAAAAGAAAAATGAAATGATAATAGAGCAACTCTGAAATTAATTGAACGTGTTTTAACATTGAAATAAATTCGTTTGTATCACATTTAATATTATATTTAATTGTTAGATATTACGTTTGGTGCATGATTATTTTATAGAGTTTCTAGCATCGGGTTAATAACATTTATAAGTCAATAAGCCTTGCAAATTATTGGAGCAAATACAAAGAGGAGTCTATTCATAATAGCATATTTTCCTTTTACGAGGAAGATTACGAACGAGATTCCTTTTATACCGCTCTAATTAATGTTATGTCTGTGTATTGCACGTACACGCAGTAGCAATTAACTACTTAAAGCCGCTTTATAATTTTATTTACGATAAAAAAAAGATTTTTATTTCATAAACTTGATTTGTTAAATTTATACCTAACATATTCCGAATATAAAATAATGTTACGCTTTTTAACTTTTAGTCTTATTTATTAATTCTTAATTACTAAGAAAGTTATGTTATGTTTTTCGTAATCAATGATAAATAACAAATTTAAAATGCATAACAAATTTATTCTTTCAAATAAGAATCTTCTTTATATTTGAAATCACAATATATTTTTAATTACGATAAATACTTGGTTAATTTTCGTTTCTCTAGAGACGCATATCATACAATATAGATAGGCGCTTATTTACAATATAGATGGATAGGCGCTTATCTGCAATATAAATTTCATATATATGAACACATGACACGTAACGAAGTTGCTAATAATAGCTTATCACATTGTACTTAAATATCCATTCTCGATTTCGACAGGCGGATGACGTATAACCGCTTTTTATCTCCTTCCTTCCTCTGCGGAAGTTATACGTTAAATATGAGCTCGTTACACAATGTTCGCTAATACGTCATAATGGCGTGATAATATAATGACGTATAATGTTGTATAATGTAATCAGTATAGTGACGTGATCGCGCTCATTCGACGTCATTCTGCCCGCGCTTTTTCTAATGACATTTTCGTAACGCCCGTCCGGTTAATATTAATGACATGCGACAACCACCGCATTCCATCAGTATTTATCTATTCACGTCACAATAGTTGCGTGGGCACGTCTTGTGTACGCAAAAGACTGTGCAATGCTGCACCACCTAATTGCATCCCGGCATCTTCGGCTTCCTCGGCGTTACGCAATAACGCACGGTCCCATTTCTCTCCCTTTCTTTTCCTTTTCTCATCTCTCTATGAATTCTATTTTCCAGCTTATTAATTTAGAAATTTGCATAAGCTGGCAGAAACGGCTAGAAATTTAAAAAATTTAAAATTTTTGTTATAAACTGCACACTGCAATTAAGATTTAATAACTCTAATTACAGTCTGCAAAATGCCCAAAGTATTTTTTAAAATAAAAAAATTACTCAAAAACGTCTTGATTAATTTTAGAGAACCAGTTTAAAGATATAAATACGAAACAGATTTTGATCTCAGCCTGCTTATTTATCACACGCGCAACCCCGCGCAACCCCGCAAAGATATAAAACCTGTCTGTTATCCGAGATAATAATCGTATTAATAGAGAGCGATATATCTAAAGAAGAGAAGAAGAAATTGGCTAACTTCCGATGGAAAGGTACATAATTTGTGTTCGCAAAGCTGTCGCGGAGTCGCGCGATAAAGGCGATGGATACATCGGACTTTCGAAGTTCACGGAGAAAGTTACACTCGGTTGACTCTGGAGGCGGGTTGACTCTAGGCGACTCGTCTACAGGAATAAAAGGAGCATCGATGATTTCGCGATCATGCTCTCAACCCGGTTTTTGCACACCTCGCACGCATTCCCCCGGTCCCGTGACATTCTTGCGGGGCGAGTCGATCTCTCAACAACAGAATCTCGTCGAAGAAACACTTTCGATTTTAATTCATCGCATTCTTTACGCCGATCTTTCTTTCTAATAAATGCAACTGGTTGCTAACGAGATTCATTAATTGGACTCATTTATCACGTTGCGCCGAAGGAACTACGTGGAAAGCTGTATATATATATATATATATTCGGCAATGTCAAGATTCAATTAGAAATAGAGGTATCACAATAAAAAGATCGAATTAATTTCAAAATGAAATTTCTAATTCGGAGCAATAGGAATCACTTATCACTTTGTGGAAACCTAATTCTGCATATTTAATGGCCTTACCTTGTCACTCTCACTAATGCGGATATACGTACACTTTAAGCTTGTCGTGGTCAACCGGATCGTTTTCGCAAAGAGATAGTTCCTGTAACAAGATACAATCCCGACGTCTTGGTCGGAGGTGTCAAAAAGGAGAAAGGAGTTAATAACGCATCGCACATGACGTATGTAACATCGCTTATACTTTCGTTTTCAGCTAGAATATAATTTGCATAAATTTTCGACGTTTGTACACATGAATCACACTGACTTATGTTTATAATTTCTCATTGCATTCTGCATTGCTCATAATTGTTTTTTTATCTCCAGCGTTCCATAAATCAAATTTAATTTTTCATTTAATATTTATAATTTACAATTCATTTCATCACTCAGTAATTCAAATAATTCATTAAAATTCAATAAAATTCATTAGATATTTCGTTTAATGTTTAATTTTTCACTTTAAAAATGTCAAGGATTGGGACGGAAAAAGAAATGAACGAAAGCCAAAGGAATAAAAAAATGTTGAATTGTTGTTTGTCTGAAACTCTTATTCGGCTCTTACATTACATTAATTGTTTAAATTGTTAAATTATTAATTATTAAATTATTAAATGTAAAAATGTTATTGTTAAAATGTTTAATTGTTAAAATTTTTAATTGTTTTATGTATATATTATTCTCTTTAAATGTAAGTTAAATTTTTTATTTAATATTGTTCCTCGTGGTATATAAAAATTCTTGTATAATATTAAATAAATGTTTAATTAACTTTATTTCAGTGTAAAAAAGTTATTATATTAATAGTTAATAAAATCATTTTATCTGTGAAGTCTACATATAAT